GTATCTGTTCCATCTAAAATCTCTTCATTGCTTACAACTGATCGCTACTCCTCGCGCTCCGACCCCCAAAATGTTACACCTCCTCGATAGTCCTTCACACGATGTCGTGCTTGAGCTCCAACGCGTTACATATTCTCCCCAAACAACACGCCGCGCTCAGTGGATACTTTGACACGGAGATAAAATCATCCGTGTACGCCACGTCCACCTTTCCGTGCGCCATCGCGCCCACGGTGAACACCACCGTCGCGTCCTCCGGCAGCGCCCGCACGTACTCCGGCAACCGCTTCACCTCGGGCGCGCTGAACGAGAACCCAACCCGCCTCGCTCCCGCCGGAAAGTATCGCGTCACCGGCTGCTTCACCACCCGCATCAACTTCTCCGGTCCGTTGCTCGAGCGCACGCTCAATTTTTGCAACAACTGCGCCACGAGTCCGCAAAACCGCTTAAACGTCCTCGGCAACCGCGTCTTCGGCGACACCTCAAACAAGACATTCTTCTGCGTGTTCACGTATATCCCTCGCACCTTCCCCGCTTTATTCAACGGCGAATCCAGGATCGACAACAGCGCCTGGTGACAAATGTCCGGTCGGTAATCCCCCGGCTGTTTCCCGTGCCGCCGAATGAAGTTTGCGTGATCGTCGCAGTTCAACACCGCGTAGCCCTTCCCAACTTTCGCCGTCTCCAGCGTCGCGAGCTCGAGGACGAAGACGTACCCCCCCGCGCGCGCGTCCGCGGTCGACCCGTCGTCGCTCGGCGGCGGGTCCATCGCGTCGCGCAGTGGCGGCGGCGGGGCTCGGCGCCCAAGGCCTTTCGCGCCTTTCGCGCCATGATCGACCGGTGCGCGCGACCGAAGCGACGCCTTTCAAACGTCCATCGAAAGGCTCGGGCGCGACCGGTCGCTCACGGCGCGACGGCGACGCGCGCGATGGCGCGCGCGACGCGCGTCGCGGCGACGACGGCGACGACGCGCGGGCGACGCGCGGGCGGGACGACGCGCGCGCGGGCGCGGGCCGCAGTTGGCGGTTCCGCGCGAGCGAGTGGGAACGGTATCGAGATCTCTACGCGCCGATGCGGATCGAGCAGGGGGCGATTGAGGATGCGAATTATTTTGACTTTGCGTCGTTCGTGCAGTTCGCGACGCTGGGGAGGGACATTCCGGGGTCGACGAGCGTGTTCGAGGAGCGCGTCGGCGCGGAGGGAGAGACAAAGGTCGTCGTCAGGGACGAGGCGTTGAGAGATAACTCGAAATTACCAGAGGCGGTGGCGCGGTCGACGGGGCGGCAGATGTACGAGCGGTTACTGCGCGGATTCGATCGAGGGGAGGATTTTGAAATCGTCCGCTTCGACGGCGTCCCGGAACCGGTGAATCGACGCTTCGGGAAGACGTCCACGGAGCTCGGTCGCGAGTGCGTCGAAGGCATGCGAGCTTTGGGTGAGCTGTTCGTAAATAACGGATACGCGCTTCAAATTTCCGTCGATAACGACTTACGCCGGGGTGGGTTCGTGGACGACGACGGGTCATTGCGCGTTCGCGTTCGAGTGAACGGTCCGGCGACGCTCTGGGGCGCGAGAGAGCTCGCGGCGAGGGGTCTCGTCCCCACGAACGAGTACTTGGGATTTGTCATGACGGCGTATCTAGAAAAGTCCGGGGTCGGGAGCTCGTACAGCGAGATCTTGACCGAGACTGAGATCGACATGTCCTGGACGTTGCGGACCGCGTAGGGGACGTCAACCGTTTCATCGACTGTCGACTGTGGATGATTTATAGTGAGTGTTACAACCGCGCTGCGGTGCTTCGCGGTTTAGTTCTTTACACGTGGATTTTGAACCCGTACCGGTAGTTTTTAGTGAACAAATAATAGTAAATGAATGAATCGTCTTCGTACGCCACGGGGATCACACCTCCATCGCGTCGTCTCGCTCCGCCGCCGCTCGCATTTTTTCCTGGGCCAGCTCGGCCACGATGGCGTCACTGGATCTCGTTTTCTTCGTCATTCCTGCACTTTCAAACACCTCGCGCTCCTTCTTCGCCACCTCGGTCTGTTCCTGCTCGGTGTCGCTCGATCCCTCGGATGAGCTGCTCGTCGACGTCGTTTGCTCACCCGCGCTCTCGGGACCTCGTCGAGGCTGCGCATCCGCCACCTCGCCGAGATCGGGCCTCGTGAGACGAAGCTTTTGAAGCCATTTCGCGGACATCTTCGGTCGAGCTCGACGGGTGATGCGCCAGACGGCGTCGAATCGAGCCGTGGTGGCAAAATTTTGCGTCACCGCCATGGTGTGGTCGAGATTCAGCACGGCGTGCCACCATCCGTCAGGGACGAACATGATCTCCCCTGGGTACTGAATGACGTCTATCGGAGGCGGAAGCCCTTGTCGTCGCCACTCCTCGGTTCTCGTGCGAGGATACATCTTGTTGAACCACGTCACGGACTCCCCGTCGAGACCGATACCGCGCGGTTTGATTTGAGCTCGCGTGACCGATCGAGGCGGATACAGCGCCCAGCGCTTCCGTCCGGATATCAACGCGTTCCACGCGCTCGTCGCGAGCGGATCGACGTGCACCGAAGAACCACTCCTGGGCGGTCCGAACACCACCCATCGGTACGGCGGACGACGCTTTCGCCCCACGTGCTTGAATAAGTCCTCTTCAAAATACTCGGGAATCGAGAAATCCTCCAAGAGCGACTTTGTCTCCGGCTTGTCGAACACGCTTCCATCGAACGCGTACATCGGAGAATCATCGTGCAAATGCACCGGATCGTTCACGTACTCCTTAATGTACTTCATCTTCAGCTTCACCGGGTACCCATCGTCGTCCGTCCCCACCTTGAACTTGACGTCGCGGAACCGCTCCGCGAGCGCGTCGATCGTCCATCGACGCGTCGACCCCGCGCGATAACACCCCCAATCCTCCATCGCGTCCGTGATCACGCACGGCGTCCGCGTCTTCTCAAACCGCTCGATGAACGCTTCCCTGGTGACCGTCTTCACCGATATCCGTTCTATGTTCGCCGTGAATCGCGCGTCCGCGTCGTTCGTGTTCGCCGCGCCGTCCGCGTACGCGTACCCGTGCTTGGTCCAGTCCCCACGCGCGAGGTCGAGCTCCGATCGCGTCCGCCGTTTCGCGCTGTTGATTTTCTTCGTCGATCGCCGTCCCGACACCGCGCGCGGCGCCGCGGACGCCGAAGCCGCGCACCCGCGCGCCGGGGTCACGCGCGTGGCGGCGGATTCCGTGGAATCCATCGCGTCATCGCTCGACCCTGGCGTCGCCCGCGCGTCGTCCCGCATGGAATCGCGCGCGTTCGGTGGAGAAAATCCCCGCGCACGTTTTTCTCCGCCACCGCGCGCGCGCGAGCGGTCGCGCGCGACGGCGGTCGCGACGCACCGCGCGCGCGTCGGTCGCGTCGGTGGACATCCATCGGTGGAGACGGTGACGCCGTACACCGGTGGGGACGGTCGAGGCCCGGTGGACTCGACCGGTGGGGGTCGGTCGCGACCGATCGATCTCGACCGATCCGATCGGTCGATGACGTCGTCGAATCGTTCGCATCGATGACGACCGTGATCGACCGATCGATATCGATCGATGGGATCGGTCGATCGCGCTTTTGAACCCGTCGTATCGATCACGACCATCATCGACCGATGGACATCGACCGATCATACCGGTCGATCACGGTGTCGACCGATGCATATCCATCACGACCATCATCGACCGATGGACATCGACCGATCATACCGGTCGATCACGGTGTCGACCGATGCATATCGATCACGACCATGATCGACCGATGGACATCGACCGATCATACCGGTCGATCGCGCTTTTGAACCCGTACTATCCATCACGACCGTGATCGACCGATGGACATCGACCGATCATACCGGTCGATCGCCGTGTCGAACCTGTCGTATCCATCACGACCATCATCGACCGCGCGCGACCGGTGGTGGGACCTTTCACGACGTCGACGCGTCCCTTTCACGCGGACCCTTTCACCGGTCACCGGTCACCGGTCGTCGGCCCGTCGGTCGGTCGTCTCCGGAGACCCGATCGTCCGACGGCGGCGACGCGGTGCGGCGCGCGACGGCGCGACGGCGCCCGGGGACGGCGTTGGGGTTCCTCCGTCGAGTTCTCCGGGACGCGCGCGCGGTGGGCGCCAGAGCGCGGGCGTGGGCGCGATCGCGTCGGGGAGATATTTGAGATATTTGGATTCGTCGCGATCGACGACGACGGGCGCTCGGTGGACGGGGTGCGACGTTCGACGGTGCGACGGGGGCGGGATGGATGCGTTTGGTGGTTCGAGCGCGGCGTCGGGGGGGTGGGGCGAGCGGGGGGGGGATGGGTCGGATTCCGACGACGACGACGGCGGCGGCGCGCGGATCGGCGCGCGCGGGGCGCGGTTGATGATCGAGATCAAGCCCGAGAGCGCGGTGACGCGCGGGGCGAACGATGGGCGGTCACTGGAGGGGTTCGTTTTCGACGCCCCGCCCAGGGCGCGGACGATGGGGGGGGAGGGGGTCGGGATGGGTGATTTCGGCGCGGCGCTCGCGCTGGCGACGACTGGCGGAGAGGAGACGGTCGCGTCGGGGGACGTGAGGGAGGTTTTAAGGAAGGATGAACGTACGTCTGGGGAATCCGATCGCGCGGGGTCGTCGAACGGTGAGCGCGAGCGAGCGTCGACGTCTGACAGGGCGGGGATTCGGGAGACGGGGCGAAGCGGACGAATGAGCCCAAAGCCGCCGCTCGCAGGGCAGAGCTCGTCGAGAGGATTCGATCCGTACGACATGCTCGACGCCATCGTCGGTAAAGAATCGACGGAAGTGACCGACATAGATAGCGTCGCCGTCGATCGTCTTCATCCGTCGTCACCGCCAAAGAGACCGAGTCTGAGGGATCGACCGACGAGTCGAGGGTCGTTCTCGACGTACTCGTTTACCGACTTGTCGGGAAGAATTTCAAAGGAAATTCCGAGTCCACGAGGTGGTCACCCGGGATCGAGGAACTCACTCGGGGGCATGGACTCGCAGACGGAGTTCTACGAGGAGTTGGCGCAGATTTCGCTCCCCGACACGGACACGATCAAGCCGGCGAAGGAGTTCGCGAGAGGCATCGCTCTGTTCGACGCCAACAAGCTCAGCGATAGTCTCTTCGCGTTCGTATCGGCCGCTGTGAACGCTGTGCACAGCGAGGACCCGATAGCGCGAAAGTGTGCGGCATACGCGACGACGTGCAAGATTCTCAGGGACTGTTCAACAATTCTCGTCGCGAACGCGAGCGAGTGCGCTCGGCTAACGAGGCACTTGGTGGAATTGGATCACCTCGAGGATCGACATCGACGAGCCTGTCTTCGCTTCGGGAGCGCGAAGAACTTCAAGGCTGGGAACACTGGAGTGGCGGCGCGGATGATTCGGCAACTCACGGCGATGTCTTCATCCTCGGGCACGACGAACTTGGAAGCTATGCTCGCGCAGTGTACGCAGCGGGGCGAAGTCAACGAGGACGTTCCGGAGGACGAGGACCCGCGTAAGATGTGCGCCGCGACGTTGGAATCCATACCCATCACCTCAAATGGGATTGTCTGTGGATGCTGTGACGCGTTGCACTCGACGAAAGCGGCATTCGAGACGGGGCAGTGCGTCGTGTGTCGCTCCACCCTCGCCGGGTCGCACAGACGTAACAGTCACAGAGCGTGGTGATACCTCACCAAAATACGTGAGAGCGGCGCAAATGCGCGAATGAAAACAATTAAAAATACTAACTAGCGATGTCACCGAGCTCGGAGCCCGGCGTGTAATTCTATAACCTATGCTCTCTCAGTTTAAGCGTTTAACGAGCTCGTAAGCGACGAGTACGATGGCTCCCGTAGGGGCCGCTCGAGCCGCCCTGGCCCCCCATCCCGCGTACAAAGCCTCGATCCCACCCATTCGAGCGACGCTCACGAGCTCGCCGACGATTCCTCTGTTTGATATTCCCGGAGCCGTTTCCGTCGAAGACGCGAAATTCGTCGGCGCAATGTCGCGAATCTGCACCCGAGTCTTCACCACGTCCAGCGGCGTCGTCGCCGCCGCCACGACGGTGCCCGCGGCGCATCCACTCACAAAATTGATCGCCGCCGCCTCTCGAACCGATCGATCTCGAAGATCTCCTCCCCCGTCGACGCTCGTGAGATACGTTCGACACCGCTCGACGGCGAACCAATACGCCGCGCTGTACGGGACGTCTCTCGCGAGCGTCGGTCCCACGCCCGTCCACATCCCTCTCGCCCCGCTAAACCTTCCGCTCGTACCCCTAGCGCTCTCTCTCAGAGCTCCCACGAAGGCCCGTCCACCGCTCTCACCCAAGACGCCGCCGCTTCCTCGCTTTGTCGCCAAGACGCGCGTGCGGGCGAGCTCCAGCGGCGCCGTCGCCATCACCGCCAACGTCCGCGCCCCCCCCCCGGCCACCGCCGGGGCGATATCTCGATCCATCCCATCGCGCACTAACGCTTCGACGGCGTAATCATAACACGGGAGATAGATACCTACCGTTGGAAACGCGCTCGCGAGCGCTCCGCCGGTGCCTCGCCAGAATCCCCGCGCGCCGTGTTCTCGGACGATGCGTCGCGCGACGTCCCCGACGCGCGTCGGGAGCTCGCACGCGGGCGCGCACTTGACGGAGCTCACCCCCGTGGTCGCGCACGCCGTGGGACAGGCGTAATCGCGCGCGTGCGAGCCCAATAAAGCGTGATTCGCCTGAATCTGCGTCTTGAGCACATCCAAAGGATTCGTCACGACGGCGGCGACGCCCGCGGCGACGGTGGCGGCGACGAGACGCGCGCGCAGGGTGAGCTCCGTCGCGTCCGCGGGTCCGGGCGAACGGGCGTCGGCGGGGACGTCCGACATGGTGACGTCGACGACGCGGCGCGCGGGACGCGAAGTGACGCGGCGCGGCGGACGCGGAGGCGAGCGATACGGAATCTCAACAGTGCGTTACACCGCGCTAGCGAACGTTCAGGAGGGATAAAGGTGAGAGTGGGGCGTCGACGTGGGGACGTCGGACGGGACGTGAGGCCTTCGAGGATCGACCGTGGGCGTTTTCCTCGTCGCCGGCGCGTCGAGCGAGGCGAACGAAAGGGTTCCCTCGCGGAGACGGCGCGGGGGCGATGGAGATCACGACGTCGGGCTCGCTCGCCTCCGTAAGCTCCGTGCGTTGATTTTTCTCCGGTCGGACTTGGTCCGGGGTGAGCGCGAGGGCGCGCGACGTTGGCTCTTCCTTCGTCTCCTCATTCTCCGCTCGGCGCGGGCTCTTTTCCGAGACGTTGGACGCCGAGACGTTGGTTCTCTTCACCTCTATCGCCTCCGAAAGAGCGATCTTGACTCGATCGAGCTCGATCGACGCCTTAATCGCCTCTTCTCTCGCCGTACGAGCGTCCACCTTGGCGTCCGCGAGCCCGCAATCGAGACGCGCGGCTCGCGCCTCGGCGTTCGCCAGCTCCTCTTCCCGCTTCGCCAGGGTAGCCTCGACGCCGTCTCGCTCTTCGTTCGCTCGAGCCAGTCTCTCACTCAACGATTGAGCCTCCTGGTTTTTCCATCGAAGAGCGTGTTCGCGGGTCGTCGCCGCGTCGATGTCCCGGCGAACCGCGGCTAACTCGTCGCGTGTGAATTCGAGCTCTGCCCGCGTGAGCTCTAGCTTCTCCGTCAGATCACAGATTCGCTCCTCCGCTCGAACGCTCGCCTCCATCGCAGACGCCAAAATTTCTTTGTTCTCTTTGTCGAGATCATCGACGCGCTTGCCGAGCGTCGACGCTCGCTCGAGCGCCGCCGTGGTTGCTCGCTCCGCCGTCTCTCTTCGTTCGTACTCATTCGCCAACTCTTGGGTAGTTTCATCGATGACCGTCGCGGCGTTTTTGAGCATGACCTGGACATTGGTGATTCGAACTAAAGAATCCTCGTTCGCTCTGACGAGTTGGACCGAGCGCGCCTTGTAGTCGTCCCTCATCCGTCTCGCCGAGAGCGCTCGTCGGCGCCAAGTCTCCGTCCTCGCCTCTTGGCGCTTGTCGCGGGCCCGAGCCAATTTCTCAGCCTTGTTCGCCCTGACGTATAAATAATCGACATCTTTTTCGAGCTTTGATAAGTATGAAGTCACCGCGACGTCCGACGAGCACGTGCGCTCGAGGATGGATTCGAGTTTGCCGACGCGCGCGTGAGCGCAATCGCGTTCCTCCGTCACTTCACGAATGCGCGACTCGGCGTCGGCGACGCGCTGTTCGACTTCAGCGTTTCGCTCCTCGAGAGAGTGAATCTTGAATTCTGCTCCTCTCTTGAGTTCGGCAAAACGCGCGCTCGACGTGCTCGCCGCGCGCTCGAGTTCGTCGATGCGTCTCGTCTTGCGCTCGAGCTCTCGGGCGAATTCCTTTTGCTGCTCAGACATGGCATCGATCCTCGCTCGGGACGTCTGCGCCCCCTCCAATCGAGCACGTTCCATGTTCGGTCCGATCTTTTCCCGCATATCCTCCAGCGCGCGCGTGGCGTCGCTCAGACGTCGCTCCAAATCCTCGGCTCGGGTTCGAGAGTCCGCCACCTCGCGTTTCGCCCTCTCGACCAAATCACAGCTGTGCACCGCCGAATTCGTCTCCGCGTTCGACGCGCGCCGCTCCGCCGTCTCCACTCGGACTTTCAACGCCTCCGCCGCGCGCGTCGCCGCGATCACGCGCACCTCTTGCTCGGCGTTTCGTCTCGCCGCGTCTTCCAGCTCGCCGCGCAGTCGTCCCGCGTCCGCCTCGCGCACCTCCAAAGCGCTCTTCACCCCCTCGAGCTCCCCCTCGAGCGCCCGGGTCTTCTCCCACGCCCGCGCCGCCTCCCGTCGCGCCCCATCGACGTCGCGCACGATCGTTCGCATCGTCTCCAACTCCGTCTCCGCCGCCGCCAAGGACGCGCGCAGCGTCTCCGCCTCCGCCGCCGTCGCCGCCGTCGCCACCGCCGCCTCCCGCTCTCGCTCCAGCGTCGTCCCTAACGCTCGCAAATCACGCTCGTACCTCGCTCGCATCGCCGCCGTCTCGCTCTCCCGTCGCTCCAGCGCCGTCTCCGCCCGCGCCAAGGCTTCGTCCCGTCGTCGATGCGCCCGTCGCGTCGCCTCGCGCGATCGAAGGTCGATCTCGCGCGCCGTCTCGTCCCCGATCGCACCTCGCGGGTCGAATAAAATCTCCCCGTCGTTCGCGACTCTGGTGAGTCGCATCGTCCGCGCGCGCGCCCGCGCGCGCCCGCGCGCGTCCGCG